CCCTCCTTCTCCCTCTTCCCCTTCTCCCCTCCCTCCCCTTTGTCTCACTTTTATTGCTTGTTTCCTGATTCCTTATCCCTCCCTTCGTCTTTCCTCTCCTTCTTCGCACTTCCGGTCCTTGTGGCACTTGCATGATCTGCTGTCGCTGGCACTCTTCCTCATTTATTTTCCTTTCTCTTCGTCTTTTTTGTCTTCTTTGACTTTTTTTCTTTTTCTCTTTTTACTGTATATATTTTTTTCTGGTTTTGTTTTGTTGTTTATGTTTTCTTTTTATAATGGTTTTCATATGTCTGTCTCCCTCCCTCCTTTACTTCCCTTGCTCACTTCCTTCCTTCCCTTTCCTTCTCCCTCCCTCCCTCCCTCCTCCCTCCCTCCCCCCCTCCCTCCCTCTCCCTCCTCCTTCCTTCCTTCTATCCTCCTCCCTTCCTCCCTTCTCCCCTTTCCCCGCCTTCCCTCCTATCTTTTCTTTCCCTATTTTCCCCTCCTTTCTCTCCCCTCGTCTTCTTCCTTGCCACTTAATCTCTTTCCTTCCTTTGCTCTTCCTTCCCACTTCCTCTCTCCCCTCTTTCGTTGTCCTCTCAGCCCCGCCTCATCAGCTGGCGTCTTTATTTCCCTTCCGCTGCTCCTTATCATCACATGTTTTTTGTTTGTTTGTTTTGTTTTTGTTATTCTTCTGATTGATGTTCTTTTTTTTTTTTTCTGTTTTTTCTTTTTCTCATTTTCTTCTTTCCTTTCCTCCCTCTCATTCTCTTTCTTCTTCTTTTTCATCCTCTCTCTTTCCTTCTTGCCTCACTTTCCTCGCCCTTCGCCTTTTCTTTCTCCTTGCCTCCCAATTTTCCCTCTCCCTCTCTTCTCTCCCTTCCCCTCCCTCATCTTCAACCTCTCCATCTCTTCGTTCTTCTTCCCTCTCCCTTTTTTCTCTTTCCCTCTTCCTACTCTTCACCTTCCTCCCTCCTCTCCTCTCTTCCTACTCCTTCTCTTCCCATCCTCCCTCTCCTCCTCTTCCTCCCTCCCTCCTTCCCTCCTATCCTTTCTTCTCCCTCCCTCCCTTCCCTCCCCTCCCCCTTTTTCTTCCTCCTCCCTCCCTCCCTTCCCTCCCTCTTCCTAGTCTTTCCCCCTCCCTCCCCCCTCCCTCCCTCCCCTCCCCTTAGAAATAATGGGCACGGCAGATAAGCGAAGAGGTTTGGACGAAAAGGACGGGAATAAAGGGAGAGAATAAGTTTTAAAGAAAAATTGGTGATTGGATGATTAAAGGGGAAGACGAGAGAGGAGAAGAGAGGAGAGGAGAGAGGTGAGAATAAAGGGAAGAGAGGAAACAGATGAGGGAAGAGAGTGAAGGGAGGGGAAAAAAGGAAGCCTTTCATGTTTTTTTTTTCTTTTTACTTTTTGTGTCGTCTCTCTCTCTCTCTCTCTCTCTCTCTCTCTCTCTCTCTCTCTCTCTCTCTCTTCCTCTCTCTCTCTCTCTCTCTCTCTCTCTCTCTCTCTCTCTCTCTCTCCCTCTTCATCCCATCTCCTTTTTCCTCATCCTCTCCCTCTTCCCTCTTTTCCTCTTCCTCTCCAAGCTCTTCCCCTTCATTCTCCTCTTCTTCTGCCTCCTTCTCTCTTTCTCCCCCCCCCTCATATTTCCCTCTCCCCCTCCGCTCTTTCTCCCTCCCTCTCCCAGCCCTCCCCTTCTCTTCCTCCCTTGCTCCCTCTCCCTCTCTCACCCCTCCTCCCTCCCCTCCTCCCCTCCTCCCCCTCCAATGCTTAATCGATTATTTAATCACGCGAATTCTACCAGACGAAGCATCTTGCAAGGTGTTATGGATCTGCCGGGAATCGATTCAGCTCAACTTTCGCAATTGCGTGACGCCTCCTCTGCTCTCTCTTTCTTCTTTCTTTCTTTTTTCTTTCTTGCTATTTCTCTCTCTCTTCTCTTTCTTTCTTGCTATTTCTCTCTCTCTCTCTCTCTCTTTCTTTTTTTTTTCTTTTTCTTTCTTTCTTTCTCTCTCTCTCTCTCTCTCTTCTCTCTTCTCTCTCTCTCTCTCTCTCTCTCTCTCTCTCTCTCTCTCTCTCTCTCTCTCTCTTCTCTCTCTTCACTTCTCTTCTCTTTTTTTTACTGTCCTTTTTTTTCTCTCTTGCCCCTTTCTTGCTCTCTCTTACTCTCTTAAGGGTTTGTCCGTTTCATCTTATTTTCCTCGTATTCTCTCTGTCTTCCTTTGTTTTCTCTGATCTTTATCTCCCTCTCTACGCTATCTTACGGTCTTTCTCGCCTTCCCTCGTCATTGCTCCATCCCTCCACCCCTTCCCTCCTCCTCTTCTCTGTTCCTCTCATTCCATCCTTTCTCGCCATCCCTCCACCCTTCTCCTCCTCTTTCTCTTTTTCTCTCATTCCATCCTGGTCTTCTCTCTTATCATCCATCCACCCCCTTCTTCCTTTTTCCCTCCATCCTCTCTCCTCTCGCCTCCCCACCGCCCTCTCTCCTTCCTCCGTCCATCCCCGTCCATCCCCCTCCCCTCCTCCCGTCCTTTCCTTCCTCCCCCACCGCCCATCCCCTCCCTCCTCTCACCTTCCTCTCGAGCGATGACGTCACTGGACGTCTCGCGCGCCCACCCGAGTCTGTGACGTCATAGCTGCCACACGCGGCTCTCCTCCGCCAAATTTATGAGAAATATTCACACACGCACGCACGCACGCATACACACATAGACGCGCGCACACACACACACACACACACACACACACACATACACACACACACACACACACACACACCACACACACACACACACACACACACACACACACACACACACACACACACACACACACACACACACACACACACACACACACACACACACACACACACACACACAACACACACACACACACACACACACACACACACACACACACACACACACACACACACACACACACACACACACACACACACATACATACACACTCGCGCGCGCGCGCGCATGTATACGTACAGATGTATACATTTATTCATGAATTCATTAATCAACTTGGCTTTACATATATTTATTTAATTATTCAGTCTTTTCTTTGTTTCTTTACTTGTTGTCTTATATTAGGCATAGTTTAATTTATCTGTTTGTTTGTTTACTTCTTCAAAGCCAAACGGTCATCTGATTCAAGAGAAAGTTGCAAACATGGACGAATATTGTTTTTTTCACTATGCTGCAATATGTTGCTCTGATGTTGCAAAAGGTCTCTAAAGATGGCCAAGATAAAGAAATATTACATTTGTTGTTCTCATTTTTTAAATGATTTTATTAGTGTCTGAAATATATTATTTGATGCTATTAATGTTTATTTTATGGATGTTGGAGAGATGTGTTATCAGTCCTTCAGATTACATTGATGAATAGATGGATAGATAGATAGATAGTCGAAGAGTCTGATGAATGATATTTGAATTGAATTACATAAACAACATCAACGAATTTTATGAGGGATTGTATGATTCATTCACCAAAATATTGAAGTAATGGATTAGCTAAATCTTAGAACATTCCTGCTTCGCTAATCCGGCTTCCGACCTTCAGTTATCCGGCACAAGCACCTAGAAATCGGATAGAGCAGACATTGTGAGGGATTTTTTTATTCTTTATTTTTATTCAGTTTGTTTATTTTCAGATTTTCATATTTTTGTAGGTTTAATATTTTCTTCCTCCTTTTCCTCTTCTTCTCCCTCTTATCTTTCTTTTTCTCTTTTCTTCTTCGGCTTGACCTTCTTTTCTTTCTTCTCACCCTCCTCCTCTACCTCGTCCTACTCCCCCCCCTCGTCTCCTCTCCTCCTCCTCCTCCTCCTCTACTACTACCTACCTACTACTACTACTACTACTACTACTACTACTACTACTACTACTTCTACTACTACTACTACTACTACTACTACTACTACTACTACTACTACTACTACTACTACTACTACTACTACTACTACTACTACTACTACTACTCTCGCTCCTACTCTTACGCATACTCCCTTACCTCATCGTTCTCTTCCTTCTCCTTTTCCTCCTCCTTTTTTTCCTTCGCCTCTTTTTTTCTTCTCCTCTTCCTTTATCTTCTCTGTCCTCTTTTTCTTCTTCTCCTCCTCCTTCTTCTTCTTCTCCTTTTTCTCCTCCTCCTCCTTCTTCTTCCTCCCCTTCTTCTTCTTCTTCTCCCCCCTCCTCCTCTCCTCCCTCCTCCTCCTCCTCCTCCTCCTCCTCCTCCTCCTCCTCCTCCTCCTCCTCCTCCTCCTCCTCTCCTCCTCCTCCTCCTCCTCCTCCTCCTCCTTTTAGCCATGTATTCGAAAGACGAACGAATACTGTGATTCTATTTTTATTTATTGGACTTTTGAGTGTTGGCGGGGCGGTATGTGAGTTACAATTTAAAAAATCGTTTTTTCACGTTTCTTTGTGCGTTTGTTTTGTGCATTATTGTTGTGGTTATTATGGTTATTGTTAGTGTTAATTGTTTTTTAAGATCGTCAATGGTATATTCATCATCATCATCACCATCATCATCATTATTATCATTATCCAAATTATATTACTTAATATAATTTACCATTACCCATAAAAGGAGTATGAATTATAATTTTTATATGACATTAAACAAGCAAATAAACTGTCTTTGTACACCTATTATACTTAGCTCTTTTGTTGTTTTATGTCCCTCAAAGGAACAGAATCAGACAAAGAAAAAAATATACATAAAATCCCCATTTCTACTTTCCTTTGTAAAACTGAATGGTAGATGTATGGAGGGAGAGAGAGAGAGAGGGAGTGAGGGGAGAGAGAGAGAGAGAAAAGAGGAGAGAAAAGAGAGAGAGAGAAAAAAGAGAAAGAAGAGAAAAGAAAGAGAGAAAAGAGAGAGAGAGAGAAAAAAAAAGATAGAGCGAGAGAAAGAAAGAAAGAAAGAAAAATAGAAAGAGAGAAAGAAAGAAAGAAAAATAATTACACATATAAAAAAACTTATATAAACACCAAACACAAATAAA